TGGCACATGCATTGATACCCACCACACACATGGACCCCAGACCACACACCACGATCACAGCACGAGAGGCACCGACACACCTGAAACACAACACAACACGCTGCACCAGGCAACACACACACATACACGTGTCACTGCACCCCCAGCTGGCACATCCCTCCCCCAGGAAGACATAGTCAAACAGCACAACACAGCACACACCCAGACAACACGACACAGGAGTCATGACACCCAAAGTCCACCTGCCCAGAGGTGCTCAGCAGAGCCAGTGAGTGGTTTGACCTGGGCTGGTTGTACATTGCTATCACAGACAGTCAAAGAAGCCAGAGGGCTGATTACCTTCTCTGTCCCCTTGCCATGTTTTCTCAAGAGCGTTCCCTGTAGAAACAATGTCAGAATTGATCAATGGTCCAGAGAGGGGGCGAGCGGATGAGGGCAAGCACACAAGTGACTGTGCATGTTTGCTGGAGGGAGAGGAGACGGCAGCAGATGTCCCCCCTGCCTCCCCATCCTCCTATCCTTGGGGTCACAGGACTCCAGCGGCTGAGGATGGTGAACGCAGTCAGGACTGCAAAGGGCAATGGGCACCTGCACTCTTATACCTTCCATTGGTGGGAGACGATGTGGGGGAGGTATGTGTGTGGGGGTGTATTTGCTGGCAGATGGGGGAGGCTGTGAGCAGAGAAACCACATTGTTATATTAGTAAAGAATAATCCAAACAGAGGGAAAGGGATCGCAGAGTCACAGCAAATAAGGCTGGAAAGGGCCTTGGGAAGCCAGCTGGTTCATCCATCCCCCACCCCAAGGCAAACTCTGCATGGGAGCCCAAGCCCCCATATGAATAATCCCGGGCGCACATGCGCTGCAGGGCACTGGCGACACGCAAGCACATGAGTATCACCAAACGCCCGGATGGACCACGCCTTGCCCTGGGGGTCCTGCTGGTTTGGGACCAACAAGGCTGTCTCCCATTGGGATAATGTCCTGCCCTTCCTCTAGTGCCTCTCCCCTGAAGGTCTCAGCCAAACGCCAATGCCCCATATGCCATGCTTTGCCACAGGGTGTTGGGGCAGGGGTGTTGTTAGCTAATGGGGGGGGCTCTGCCCCAACTACAACCCACAGCACCCTGATCCAAGACAAATCCCTTGCACAACCAGATCCCGTGACAGGGAAAACTGCTTCGAGATGCCTTTCCCAGCACCCAACACTGGGGGTTCCTGAAGGATCAGCCCATACTGGCCTTGACACTGCTTGAGGAGGTGAGCAACAGGGGCCATGGGACAGAGCCTGTCCACGAGGAGGGGCCATTCCCGTTCTTGTGGCAAGCAGGAGCTGCCGGGCTCTGCTCAATGGGGACACACCCTCTGCAAGAGACTGGCAGAAAGACCAGGGCCATGCAAGGCACCAGACTGAGCTAGGGGAGCAGGAGAAAGGAAACTTGGGCTGACAGACAGCCTGCAGGAGGGATGGGACACCAGGACCCCATCAGTGCAGAGACAGCAGAGGAAGCCAAGCAGCGGAGGCAGCATTGTCCTCCCCGAAGGTCCCCCAGGAGCACAGTCTTATAGGGGACAAGCCCAGAAGGTGGGAACACAAGCTTAGGGCTGCTGGTCCTAGGGAAAGAGGAGCTGTTTTCATGTCATGGCTGGGCATCTCTGGCCTAGTTTCTGCTAGCAATTAGCCTCCCCATGCTAGCCATCTTCTTGGACAAAGCTCGCCACTTATTCCTAATGAAGACAACCTCATGATGGGTGACACTAAGTCCTTTGGGCCCATGATATGCCACCTAGAGTGCTGCCTGTCACCAGGACTTAATCCCCTAAATACAGGTTGGGAGGATTCACCACCCCATACAAGTAACCCTTTTTCTGGGCCCCAAGTGGCACCCTGGCTGGCTGTGCCGAGGAAGACCGAGCTGTTTCCAAAGCTGGGTTGCACCATGCACAGCTGGGACAAAACCCAAGAAAAATAGTTATGCTCCATTAGAAGCAAAGGGTGGGAGGGGACCAAAATGGCCAAGGTTTAGCTTGAGGCTCCCCACAGGCTCTGAAGGAAGCTTAAATGTCCAGTACTTAGCGAATAAGATGCTGCCTTGCCTTCTGCAGCAGGATATCTCGGGAAAGAATGATCTTGGCACATTTAGTCCTATTATCATGATACCTCCCTATTGTTTCCATTTTACAGATCTGGAAAAACTGAGGCAGTAGCTTCACCATAGCCAGGCAATGAGCCAGTGGCAGAGCTGGGACGGGAACCCAGGAATCCGGGTTCATAGTTCCCCACTGCATCCATGAGAAGGGACTTGCCTTTCTACTGGAGGAGCTGACTGTCCTCTGAGCACTCAATGACTGGAAAAAAACACCCAACTCAAACACACAACCCAAAGGAATTTCGCCTTGTGACACTGCGCTCACAGTCCAGATGTGTCTGGGATTCTCCCTGCTAGGGAAATGTCCCCATCATCACACTCACAACCGGGTCTGGCCTTTCCAAAGCACTGCATTAGCACTGCTAAGTCTTAACACCATTTGTACCAGGAAGCTGCACAGAGAGAGGCAGTGGCTCTGCCAAGGTACCAGGGCTGGTAGCAGAAGCTCAGAGGTCCTGGGTTGCAAGGTAGCTAGTGTGACTGAGTGAAGCTGGCCTGCT